CTTTTACAATTGAGGATAAATATGGCTTGTATGTAAGAGACAAAACTCCTTTCAGAATTCCAAATGCTTTCAACCTTTTAATTGCTCTTTCTATATGAACCCTTGAAGTTGCTACACGTCTAGTTGCWGTACTTGCTTCAGCAGATATATTGTTTTTACTCATGACTGGTGGAGCAACAAGATGACATCCCTGTTTTACCAACAAGTTAAAACCTTTGTTAAAACCTTTATCTGCCATTACCACATCACCTACATTCAACTTGTCTACAAAACCACTCATACTTAAAATTTCCTTATCAGTAATGCTACCAGTAAATAGCTGAGACACAAAGTTAATATGGGGCACAGGTGAAATTGATATCAATAATTTAAATGTATTGTGTGACTTGTAATGACTATATGTAGACCTTTGACTGGATGGTTTAGAAGGGGTCTCAATAAAAAACTCTGTACAATCAATGATTGCTCTTAGGTTCTTGATTTCTTTCAATGATTGTGGTTTTGGAACKTGAAGAAGATCTTTTACACTAGCAAAACATAAAAGGAAATCCAGTTCCTTTGCCAAAAATAAAACCCATGTGGTAAAAATCCTACTCCCAACAGTTSTGGATATACCAAAGATGTCACATAACATTTCCAGGGTGGTATTCCTCCTCAGCTTGACAAGTGTGAAGACAAACTGTTCCATTGTTGACAACTTTGAAAATGCWCTCTTTTGCTAATTAGKAAAATTAAAKAGACAAAAGAATATATTTAGCCTGATGAGTGATCTTTTGTCRTACATGTCTGTAACCTAATTTTAATTTTAATATTAAATRAACATAAATTTATACAGGATTTCAATGAATTAAATTTCAGGCAATGACAAGTTGTGTACTTGAACTACATGTGGGTATACCTTCCAATATTTCTTGTGTAATGATTGTTTGKGAGTCCTCTTKTTCCCCTTCCACATGTGGATTCTTCGAGCTTTATCTTCGATCTCTCCAAAGATCATTTCTAAACATGCTTTGCTTATTCCTGTGCAAATGAAGAAAATAACATATAAATAWCAGRTTGTTGTCTCAACGTTGTGTATAGTAAATATTGTGTCTAACCTGTGTAGTGATACGTTTTCTTTTCATTCATTACATTGTCCAAGAACAAATTTCTTGAAAGCTCGTCTTTGCCTAAAGTCTTGTAAAAACAATGTTGTAATTTAATTAATTATCTTAATTTTATTACCTGCTCTTGTGTATAACTTTACATATATAATAGCTGAAGTAGTACCTGTGTACCAAAATCTCTTAATGGTTCGCCCATCTGTGTACCAAAATCTCGAACTGGTTCAACTACAGGTATCTCGTTGAATGAAACAGCCGTTTCGTTTATAAAAACGTCTTGCTTTATGTGTTGTTCTCTCTTCTCATCACACTTATTATCACAGTGACAGTACAAGTTGAGCAGTGTTTCGGCAGCTACAAAGTCATCCTCGGATC